GTTCTATGATGTAATTTCAACTAAACCCCACTGTCGTTGAGTCGATTTTGACTCATAACCTCCTGGTAGAGCAGAGTAGAAATGCTTCCTCGAGTTTCCCAAACTTTACATCTTTATGGGAACCAATGTCCTCATCTTTCTCCCACAGAGTAGCTGGTGGCCTGGAATGACCAGCCTTGAGGCTAGAAGCGAAACTGTCAATGCATCTAGTGGCACAGTGGTTATGCATTGAACTGTTGAACTCACGGTCTGCAGTTAGAACCCACCAGCTACTCCATGGAAGAAAGATGAGACTTTCTGGCATATATATAACAATATAAAGCCTAGGAAATCCAAAGGGGTATTTCTACTTTGTCCTACATGGTAGCTATGAATCCACTCAATGGCTGTTTTTGATTGTTTTGTTGTGTTGTTGTTTGGGGGGGGGGTAGTTACGTTAAAGATGTTATGTGGTTGTACAAGATAACATAGCCAGTAACTTACAGTTGTCAGTTCACTAGGCTAATTTTGCATTTCTTGGACCTGTTCCTACCTATATTGTCTAGTTTAAGGCTCTTAATAATCATGTATATAGTTAAAATGGTCATGGGGGCTCCCTTATGCACAATGTTGTGATTCACTGCCATTTAAATAATTGAATCTGGGGGTTGGGAGATATCTCCCCTCCCTCCCGATTGCACTGTGGGTTTTCAGAAGTGTGACAGGCTCAGGCCAGGCCTGGCTGCTTGCCCTGGGTGTGGGCTGTTGATCGGTCTCTTTGTCTGTCTTTCTTCACCTTCATGTGAACGTCTGAGCTGGTATGTTCTATGATTTTTTTTTTTTTTATAGTTCTCTCCTAAAAACAACAGTTTGTATGTTTCTGAGAGAAAATTAGGAGAGCAAATAAAAAGTAATTATAAACTTCTCAAGTAATTAACTAGTGAAACATAGTTGTAAAAATAACATTTAAAATTAATCTGTAAACAAATGAATCAGATTATTCCATTGAAAATAAGAAAATGCGTAGGAAAAAATTTAACAAAATGCATAAGGTCTATACTCAGAAAACTACAAAACATAGTTTAAAAATGTTATAGAGCTACATAACCTTTGCTTGTGCTTCAGAAGACATAATATTGTTAAGATAGCATACTTCTCAAACTGATTTACCATTTCAGATTCCTCTATAGAAATTAACAAGCTTATTCCAAAACCCATATGGAAATGTAAAGGACTTGGAATAGCTCAATGAACAAAGCTGTAACACTCAACACTTTCCCATGTAAAAACTTGTTACAAAGCTACATGAATCAAGATTGTGTAATACTGTGGATAGGCACATAGATCAAGGAAAATAATTGAAACTCCAGAAATAAACACTCATGTTTACAATTAATTGTTTTTTTCAAAGATGAAAAGATAATTCAGTGGGAGAAAATGATCTTTTCAGCAAATAGTGCTGGGACAATTGGATGTCCACATTCAAATAAATGCAAGTGGACCCTATCCTTATACCACATACAAAAAAAACTGAAAAGGGATGTGAGGACAAATTGTAAAAACAGTCTATAAATCTCTTAGAAGAAAATGTAGGAGTACATTTATGTGTCCTTGGGTTAGCAGTGTCTTCTTGAACATAACACCAAAAGTACGTGCTACAAAAGAAAATTTGGACGTCCCCCAAATTTAAAAGTATTGTTCTTCAAAGAATATTATCAATCAAATACGTTTGCAAAGCATTTATCTGATGAGACTTATAGCTAGAATGTGTAAAGAACTCTTACAACTAAAAGTGAAAAGACTTTAGCACAGCCAACAAATGGAAAAAGACTCTGAACAGATAGACCAAATACCTGTGGAGATTTAAAATGCAAAATGGTAGAGCCACTTTATAAAATGTCTTTGTATGAGCCCCCAATAAAATGTTTTTTAAAAATGTTTGGAACTTTCTCAACAGGTTAAATGTAGAGTTGTGGGACCCAACAACCCCATCCCCTAAATTATCAAAGCCAATCTCACTTCCAGCAGGTTGATTTTGACTTATTCTGCAGCCCAATGCTATGCCACTAAGACTCCTTCCTTAGGGATATACCCAAGATAAATTCAAGTATCAAGGTATTTCAAGAAGCTTATGGAGAAATGGAATTAGGATATAAAAATTTTCTAAACATATAAGTGTTATCAACATAATCTATTGAAACCAGCCATTCATCTGTAAACCACTGATTTCTATGAGCATTGTCCTTCAAGGTCATCAGTTCAAAACCACCAACATCTCAGTAGAAGAAAAATGTGACTTTCTGTTCCCAATCAGATCTATAACCTTGGAAATTCATGGAGGTCACTTTGAATCAGAAATTTGGCTTGTTTTTGGTTATCTTTCTTATTGCCTCAAATTTGAACCTATTCAGACTTAACAAGTGAATACTATTTTATTTTGTTACGAAAATTAATTTTGACACCTATAGTTTCTTTATAATATGTATTTCCCAAGAACTTTTTGAAGACCTTTCATATGTCCACCTAAAGATCTGTACATGATTGTTCATAGTATTATTCATAACTACTGGTGAATGGATGAAATATGATACATACATATAACAGAATATTATACAATCATAAAAAGATGAGCGTACTGATTCATACCACCATATATGTAACCTTTGTTACAGGTTGTACTAAGTGAAAGAAGCCCTTCACAAGAGACCACTTATATGAGTTTATTCATTTGAAAGGATAGAATAGACAAATTAATAGGGACAAATAAAATGGGTTAGTAGTTACCTGCTGCTAGGGGTAGGGGTGGAGAGTGGAAAGAAATGGCTGGGAAGAAGTGAATAGAAATTATTAAAGAATACAGCATTTCTTTTTGAGAAGAAGATGAAGATATTCTAAAACTGATTGTGGTGATGGATACCAACTCTGGATATGCTAAAAACTACTCAATTGTCTGGTATAATAATTACAGTTACAATTGTACAGTTACATGGGATTAGGGTTATGTTCCAAAGCCTTTGTTATTGAAAAATGTTTGAAAGAGAATTTAAAAACTGTACATTTAAAATAATTTAACATGTTTTTCAAAATAACTTTCGAATCTAGGTAAGAACGAATATGAATGCATTTCTTAGTTTCTTATTCAATGTCTTGGACGTTGCCCAAATTATTTGTAGTTGCATAATTATTGGTTTGAATTCTAGCTAATGTTTATTTTTAAATAGTTCATTTTTGTAGTTCCTTAAAATATCAGCTTCTTCATCTACAGAATGGAGATAGTTCGTAGTTCGTAGTTCTTAACTAATTTGATTGCATTTGCCAGTTGAAGGTGTGTGGCAACTCTGTGCCAAGCAAATCCATTGCCACCTATTTTCCAGCAGCAGGCACTTACTTCATGATTCTGTGCCACCTTTTGGTTGTTCTCAGAGTATTTAAAACTTTTTCATAGCGCTCTTGCACACTTGATAGACATAAGTATAGTACAAATAAAACCTTTACACACTTGCCTTATTGCAGTATTCACTTTATTGCAGTGGTTTGGAACCAAGCTCCCAATATCTCCATCCTCCTATCCTGTATATTTGGGATGGCTAATTGTTTAATCCTGGAACTAAAAGAGAAAGATGCACAGAAAAAAGCTAAATTTAAGTATGGAATTAATTTTTACACATCAGTGGAGGACAGAACAAAGAAGACGGTTCAATTGCACTGTTTGGAAGGATTGTGACAAATATTTCTTCATTTTGAAAGGCACATTTTTAATGAGCCCTGTGTGTCTTATATACTGTTATGGGAAGTTGAACATTTGAAATTCTTAATGCGCTCTCCAAATTGCTGAGGAAAATTCAGAATTTGGGTTTCCATGGTTGTCTCGTTGTATTTTCTAATGGCATGGCATTGGGTAGATGTCTACACAAAGTTTGTGTGGCGAGCGAATCAAGTATGAGTTTCAGCTTGCTCTAGGCCATAGTCTTGCCAAAATGTAGAAAACCTGTTTGGAAAAATTCCCCTTATTCTTGTGCCAGTTTCTCTAGAAACCAAAAGCTTTCATCATTGTAATGTGCACCACCCTGTTTCATCTGCAAAAGAACAAAGCTAAAGTTATTGAAATGTATTAAATTATGATAGCGCAGTATCTGCACCGTATGAAGCTATAACTGACTAGCTCATGTGTGGATTATTACCATGAGCATTTGGCATTAAGTGGTGTTCTCTGATAGCCCTATCTTCATGCTGGGCCATGGATAAAGTTGTCTCCAAAGTTCCTTTTGTGATTTTTGAAAGAAAAAAAGATAAACAGTCTTACTACTTGATTAAGTTAATGGTACCTTTCACCCTGTTGTTTCAAAATACCTGTACAATATCCAGGTGCCCATTACTATATTTAAGTGAAGTTAAAAGGTGGTATTATAGTATTATAGTAAGTATAGTACAGAGAAAAATTGAAATTGAAACTATGCCATTGGGAGGGGGTCACTATGTAGGATCCTAAACAAGAGTGATCACCACTTACTAAAAGAAAGGTAACCCAAGTAAAAAGTGTTTCTTCCTTTATCTAGATATATTCTATAACTTAAGTTGCTCTTCCCTCCCTTTCCCTAAGACCTCAAAAATAGCTTTATTAATAGTAATATATGGCATTTGTGTTCTTCTAAAAAAAAAAATCAGGGTGGTCTTAGAAGTCTGCCTTCAATTTTCCCTTTTGAATTTTCTGTTTAAAAACTGACATTCCAATAGCTTTTCTTTGGCCTAATGCCGAGGTTGCACATTGAGGCAGCAAATTAGGAATGTTAAGACGTCCCCCCAAGAAAAATGTTTGTTATGAAAGTAGAGCTGATGTGACATTTAGAATTAGAGCTTCTTAACTTGTCTGAATGACATTTAGGGATCTTTTCCTTTTCTTATTTTTTAAAAGGGAGAGAAAAACAGAGAAAGGTATGCCCAGAGGCTGAGGTTAGGTTGGTTCTCCAAACTGTAAATGTCAAATATATTCCACTGATAATGTCTATTTTGTCTCTTTTTAGGAGCCAATTTTGTTACTCGGAAAATTAGCCGGTCAGTAGCTAAGATTTACCTTGGACAACTGGACTGCTTCAGTTTAGGAAATCTGGATGCCAAACGAGACTGGGGTCATGCCAAGGACTATGTCAAGGTAGGGAATTGACTCATTACATTTTTTTTCAAATTCTGTATTGGTTGTTGTTTTAAATGCCCTTTGCCTCTGGCAGAAAAGCATGGCCCCTGGGGTGGCATAAAAGATTATGCTAATGCAGATATATTTCAGACTCACGTGACTTTCAATTTAAGGTTGAATGGTTCAGGAGTTCATATAACAACTTACACTTAGTGTTACTTCAATGAGGAAATCTCACATAAGTGTTTTTCTAATCATTTAAAATGGAGCTACTGATCAGTCGTTTGGATGATAAGTTCGTGTTACCGTAGAAAAATTCTACATGGGATGTGTCTGGATTCCCTATAGAGTCTGAACCCTCCCCACTTCTTTGTGCCTGGTCCCACCTCCCTGTCCAGCAGGCATGTTTGAAAACATTTTTTTTTTTTAGTGGGGTGGGGGTGGGGCGTGCTGGGGAGGGGTAAAGGTTCTAGTTCTCAGATCTTTAAGATGTACTACTTAATTTCCATTTGTATAAACTAAAGCCACCAAATTTGCATTATTCTACTAAATTTCTTTAAGGATAATATTCTCAAGGGAACCCTTTGTTTCTACTGATATGTATCTATGTCTTTAGAACCTGATTAGCATGCCTGTGACTTTGCACACCAAGGAGCTTTGGATGTCATTGTAGAATAATGGATTACAGCAGAGAAATGTAAATTTTTAGTCTTGAGTTTCACAGAGGCATTGGATTTTGTTTTTAATCGCATTTGTTGTAAGTAGTGAGATTTGTTTATAAGTAGTGAGATTTTCCCTAAGCAGATGGTTGTTTTACTTTGCCCTGATAAATCTGAGCGTGACTCCTCATGCTAACTTTCGTGTCCAAACAAAAGTCAGCATTCGTGGAAGGGGCTTTGTTGACCTCCTTGAGGCACTTATATTCTAACTGCTCATCGGATTGTTTCTGCGCTGACCAGTCCTCTCTGTGGAAGTTGACCAGCCTTCCTCGCCCATTGATTTAATTCAAATAGGAACTTGAAACATCACAAAAGTAAGCAAATTCACTTGTAAAGCAGAAGTCAGTTTTTTCTGGTATTGTTTTTGTTTGTTATGAATAAAAATGATCCTAACTGTATTTGAGTATCTAATCGTGATTTAAATGATCAACAAATTGATCTTTCTAGTAATCAGTGCACCATTTAGATCATTTAAATATGTTACTCAAGCTATAATTAAGGACCCTGAGTGGTACAATGGTTTAGCACTAGGCGGCTAACTGACAGATTGGCATTTTTAACCCATCAGCCACTACTGGTGGGGATGGGAGGGGAGGGGCTAGGAAGGAAGAGGAAATATGGCAATTAGTTTACCTAAAGATTTATGCCCTTGGAACCCAATGACACAGTTCTACTTTGTCAGAAAGGACCACTGAGTCGGAACCGACTTGAGGACAACTACTTACAGGGTAGTTACAAAGAATCATTGTATACTTGCTATCCTTAGCCATATATTAGGGACATTGCATCAAAAGATTCATAGGGTCATATATTAAGAAATTATGAGAAAGTGGGGAAATGGAAGTGTTTACTCCCAGAGGTGCTTTTAATTTTCTAATGTGTATGACTTACGTACTTAAAAATATGAACCCGGTTCTCTAAAAAGAAATGTTTTGTCAATGTTAACCTTTTATTGAATGACCTTTTGGCTTTCTACAGCTACTTACAGCTCTGCAGAACCTATTCCTCCTCTTGTTTTCCAAATTCAGGAACCAAATGCATTCAGATTTTATTTTAATCTTTATAGTTGGGAAAGAAGAAGTGTGTATCTAAAATTCCTGTTGGAACTCAAAAATCAAGTGGATTTTAGAAATCATATACCAAAATGTTAATTGTACTTATTACTGTTTGTTTGCTTTTTGGGGGGTGTTTACACTTTCCATGTTTTCCAAAATTTGAAATGGATATGTACAAGCCTTTGCAATGAGGGGGGAAAAAGTAACAAATGACATTTTGATACTGAATAAAAAATAATCCCACATCCATGCATGAGACAGTTAAATACATATGTTAAGTATGGACCAAACTTCCCTTGGCGCACTGTGTTTGGAAGAGGCCCCTGTTTATATCCTACTCTCCTGGCTAAGGCTAGGGTCGCTTCTGGGTGCAGTTTGGTGCAAAGACTTCAAAAAGTTCTTCCCTTTGTGGTGATTTCTGGGCTTGTGTGGCGGGTGTCATTGGCCAAGGAGCCAAAATATCTACCAGGTAAGAGTCAGATGCCTTTGTTGAAGAATGTGCAGTCTTCAGATTCCACAAGAGAGTACACACACGTTTGAAGTGAAGTCATTGGAAGGGGCACCGCAGACCTGCTTTGTGCCATCATGCAAGTGGTTTTGAGTAGGAAGTAGTCCCATGGGGTTCTAACAGTAACGCATGTTGATGCTGTAAGTCCCTGCTGATAGCCCTCATTTCTGGATTCGGAAAGATCTGTCTAAATGTCTTGGTCTCTTAAAAGGTACATATTACTCTTTGCGAAGTAAGCATTCATAATTTGGACTGTCTGTTTTAAGAAATGTTACGAATGCCTTACCGTTCTAATTGTATTAAAATGGCGTTACTTCAAACATCTTATGACTCCTTATAAACTATGGCCAAAACTGAAATCCACAACCATGCAAAGAAAAAAAGGAGCAGCATAGTTGGTGGAGAGCACATTTGCAAACCAGCACGATAGTCAGCCGTGGACATCACAGCAGGCATTCCAGTATCTCATGTACTCCCCCTTCTGTGCTGCTGCCCCTCTCTGGTCCTCACACAGAAAGACTGTATTAGTAAAGCTTTCCCTGAAACAATATGTGCTTTTTCCCTTAGAGATAATTTTTCATGATGGAGAGTAGAGAGCATTTTTTTCTTTTTCTTTCTTTCTTTCCTCATGGAGGAAACCAGCTGTGTCAGAGGTTTGTTGGCTCCTAGCCTTGAAGGTGTTCTCCTATCTCCATTTGCCCATCTGTGAAAAGGACATAATAACCACCCTCTGAAAAAACGAGCACTGATGTCCTGTACCTACATGATTAGAATCTACCTCTCTCTGGTAAACAGTCTGCAACAATTTACACAAAGTCATTTCCTGCTGCTGACGCAGGCTCCTTCATGTCCATTACTGTTCCTTAGATCCAAAATGCTTTCAACGTTATTTTAAGATGCAAGAGGAATTTTATTTGGGTCTTACATTGGGTAATTGAAAATGAAATAAAGAACCAATACGAAACCATGTTAAACTATATTATGCTAAAGAATACACCTGTACTAGTTGCATTTTCCCCAATATTTTATCATATATTTTAAAGTGTTTTTCAACATACAAAATAGAACAGTCGAATGGATTTAACAGAGTACATCAATCTATCTACCGCGGAGGTTCCATAATTAACATTTACTAGTATCACATTTTGAGAGAACATATTACTGTAGTCCTAAGGATTCACAGCTATAAATTCCAAAAAAACACAAATTGTTGAGGGGACTAAAAGTGTGTGCATTTTGTATGAGAGAAGCAAGTCAACATTTCAGACTTTTAAAATGTGTTCTTCTTAAATGTTTACCTGCCCTCTACAACCTGTGCCCAAGTTCTACCCAAGGCCAAATAAGTCTAGAAAATGCCAGACTGTATAGAGTTACATGGATTGCTTCTGTGCAGGACTCCCCATAACTTATGATCTGTGGAGGGCACTAGGTTTCAGCAAGATTGACAGTGTTTCCAAAATTTATTTGGTCTTGAAATTAACCGTTAGCACCCGGAAGGCCATGCATTGGTGTCGTGCATTAAAGTTATAGTGCATAGCTCCGTTTGGTTAACCACTGTAATACAAGGTCCCAGTGTGATACCACCTTGATGAAGATAACTGGAACTCACTGTGGCTGGAGAATATTGTGAGAGAAGCTAATGAGTAGAGGCTGGGCCAGAATTAACTTGTGAGTAAGCTTCTACCACTTACATGGGGATCATTTTGCTCTTGGGAAATGCGGGTCATTGAGTGATCTAACCCAAGCTCTCCTAGCACTGGGCAAAAAGCCATTTACAATATGACAGGAGGTTAGAGCCAGCCGCTGACCTTATGGATCTCAAAAAGTTCATCTGGCCCACGGGCAAATCCAGGGCACATTCAAATTGGTAAGGGAGGATTTTAAAAGTTCATCAGCATTTGAACACCATATTTCACTACCACCTCCTGTGTTTTTTGGATCGGGAGCATCAACTTAAACAATAAGATTACTTTCTGAAGTGGATATCATAATAATCGTCAGACATTGATGACTTATATGCCTGAAACCACAAGAAAACCTTTTATAATTGATCATGTTATTCCACACAACGGTCCTGAAAGACAGCTATTATATTCGTACTTTATGGAGGAAGCAACCCTGGAGAGTCAGAGAATTTAAGTTATCTTTGACCAGAGTCACCAGCAGAGGTGCTTGAAAGCAGAATTCCAGCCAGGCCTGACTACCGAGCGTGCCCGTAACCACACAGTATACTGCAGGATGCAGGACATGGACATGAGCAGTGGGATCCGGATCACATTCGAGATCTAGGGAAGCAGAAAAGTAATCTTCTCACCCTTTGCTTTCCTGTTCTGTGTTGTCCAAGGGAAGGGAACTACTTAGAAGATACAAATCTGGCTGATCAGGTAAAGGTAGAGAGGGTATGTTGAGGGGTGTCCATCTTCCTAGAAATGCACTCAGCTCTATTGCAGCTGTCTGAGCTCAGCTGACAGAACTAGGAGAGGCTTGAGCGGGGGTCACTGTGGGTTGAGCCAGACAGAATGGACTGCTGTTTCCTGGTCCTTTCTTCCTCATCCATCAAGCTGTTGCTAGCACTAGGCATCTTGTTTTACTGCACATAACTCTGGAAGGAAACGAAGCCATCTACATTTTCTCAGGTCTGACTTAAGGGAAAGTTTGTGACATAATCAGCAGAAACACATTTTTAAAATCTTTTTCTTTTTAATATGTAGGAGAATCACGAAGATTATTGGTAGA